CCCCAAAACCCCAAAACCCCAAAACCCCGAATGTTAAATTCATAAAATCGATTTGAATTTGTAAAATTAGGAAATTAAATTTAGATATAAGTTGAAATTAATCAAATATTTTGAATTTTAACAGAGATTATTGAATTACTTCAGAATATCTTGCATCCATCATCTGCGCCACTATCTTTTGATCTGATATATTTGGTTGAAGCATTATTCTCATATCGCCTATCTTATCTATAGTAGGGTACATACCCATTATTATTTTGATTGTAGTTTTCAGTGCTTTTAGTCTGGTAATAGCAGTTTTAGTTATTCTTGTTATACTATAAGGATTGGTCAAGATTGTTTAACAGCATACTATAATCAGCTATCAAATTATTCCTAAGTTTGCTCTCGGCTTAGTGAAAAGAGCCATTTGTTTGAAGATAATTATTATTTGCCTTAGTTGAATCATTGTAAGCAGGAGGATTTCTCTAATTAGCGTACCTGCCTTAATCATAAGAGTTATTCAGTCGTTTATTTTCATGGCCTCCATTCTTGTAATTCAAGTCATTTTGCTTTGTCTACAGAAACTTCGGAGGAGTTCTTGCTCTTTGATTCCCAATATTGGCCATTTGATTCCTGTACTGATTATCACAATTGTTATAGTTATAAGCTTGTTATCTATTATCATTTGAGTAACTTCTTGCATGATTTCTTCTTTGATAGTCATACCTAGGTGAATTATTGAAATTAGCGTTGTAGTTTTGATAGTTTACAGTCCAAGTATTTTATCTTAGCAAATTTACATTCTTCTTCGTATCCTCCATTACCTATTTCCTAATCTCATTTAGAAAAGTTTACTCATCTATCTTTGAATGCTTTGATGTTTAAAGCCAAAGCACTAAGTCCTGAATAAATGGATGAATCTTGTTCTAATCTGGAGCAGCTGTTGCTTGCTACTTTGCTCTTCCCTAATTTTAAACTCTGCTCATATCGTAATACTTTCGAGGTTATTCTTTGACATGAGTCGATTTACTGCTACTTCCATTGATATTTAACAGTAGTTGATTTTAAGTCTAAAATCTCATTTGAAATTCCTCAGTGGTCTTGGTGATAAAAAGAGAGGACTATCTCAATAAGAAATTATCTCTCAAAGCTGAAAGTATTTTCTTGGTTGAAATGTAATAAAATTTTAAGGTCTGGACTAGAAGGTTTGAAATGAACTTCATATTCTCATCATTATTAATTATGGACTGAATCTTAGTATAATGGAATATAAAACCCAGAACCAAATTTTCATCCTCTACTTTGAGATCTTATGATAGAAATATTTGGAAAACATTATAGAAAGCCATATTCAGAAGTTCATACTCGTTGTAAACATTTGGATGGTTATAAAAGAAACTATTTTTATTGGCTAGGTAATTCTTTTTTTACAATTCAAGAGTCTTCAAGTCTTTCTAATAAAGGCTTTGGAAGTTTTGGCTTATATAGTAAGTTAATGATGAGTGCAGGATAAACTCTCTCATGTGTACTTTTATGTTTATTTCATTCTTTTCCTTGAGTTGGCTAATGTTAATAAAGTTCTAGTGCCCTATAATCTAATTATGGTCATGAGCAAATGTGTAGAAAATCAGAGATTTATATTCACCAAAGGCAGCGTCGAGAATTTCAAATTAGATGAGCATACTTGAGAATTTAATTGGTATACTAATACCTACTTAAGGTACTCCATCTGGTGAACAGTCAAGTATAGGCCCTCGCTCAACTATCCAGAGACTTACATTTTTATCATAATCTATATCAATCTTTAAATGCCAGCTCCTTCTACCAAAGTCAAAGGCTTTGGTAATGATCGTAGATCCCTTGTTCTTTTCAAAATCAACTTTAATTTGATCTAAATTTATTTGCTAATGAATTTGAGGCTCTCTTGATTCAAATAAGTCTTTGCTTGTTATGTTATCTTTCAAAATATTAGCAGAAGGTTTCCAAGAGCTCAAATCAGGTCTGAGTTCATTGCCTTGATTATCAGCTGTAATGCCTTACACAAAAGTCGAATCTAAATCAGTCTTTTTGTTTTCAGTTTCAGCTGATATTGAAGTAGAAGATTTATTAATGATCGCACTTGTTATTACATCTTAACTCTTTATCAATTAGCATTTGTAATCCATTAAGACATCAATAGTTCTTAAGAAATCACTCATTAAAGGTACAATTTAGTAGTCAAAGGCAGAACATGAGTCCATGCTCTCCTAAGATCTCCTAAATAAAGTTGAAATGCTCTTTTCAGCCCAAGTATCAGCTGTAAATTAAAGTATACTTTCTAGGTCTTTGCTGCCATCTACGATGTATAAGAGACTTTAGTCAATAATTTCTCGCATTAGATTAATATCCAGCTCATACATTAAAGATGGATTGGTTCTTATAAGTGAATGCAAGTGCTTCTCTAAGTAATATTAAGAATATGCTTTTAAGAAAGCCCAAGCATTAAGGCAACTATTCTTATGGTGTTTACTTCCAACAGTGCACTCCTTAATGAATATCACAGCTGATGCTGGACTCATTTATGGAATTATTACATGGGCAATCAGAAATTCTTATAAGTACTCATTGTAAAAGAAGTTGCCAATGCGCAGTAATTCAATGAAATCCTTATCGCTTAATTGCTGGAAGTTGCCATCAACTCCAACTTTGCCTGTATACATATACAAAACGAATAGCTTAAAAGCGCTCATATCAATCCAATCAGGTATTAGTAACTTAGAGGCTATCATTACATCTGGGCCAAACTATATTTTATTATAGGTCTCACTTTCCCTTATTGCCTTTTTGAAGAATTCAGAATTTGAAGTGAAGACTATTTAATGACATAAGAATTCCTCTCCTCTCAGAGATAAGACTAAGTCAGTATGTTGCTAATTCAAATATAGCTTTTTGAAGCTCTCATTTATAGGTTATCGATTTCTAATAACTAATTTCTTTAAAGCTTAAGTCGGAGTAATTTGACAGTCCCTTAGTTGTTTAATGATTAATTGATATTTCAAGTCATCATTCTTCTATAACTTATCAGTCAAGGTATATAAAAAGAGGGAGAGATCATCATAATCTTTAAGTTTAGTTATGTTCTGATTGGGTTTCTAATCATTATTTTAAGTGATGTTAAAATTAGTTTGCTTAAGATCTCGATTTTTAGAGCTTTATATAGTATTCTTAGATTTTTCAAACTAGTCAACAGCAGCTTTGTAATAATTGAAGAATTAGACTGGATCAGTCAGCATTAAAGCGGTAACCTTTTGTATCTAGTCAGGATTAAGATCTTAGCTTAAATTCTTCAAGTAGCCTTTGAGAGTTTCTTAATCAATTGGGGATAGCTAGCTGAAAACAAGATGCTCCTTAGGTGGTGCTTATTATTACTGTTGTTATTATAATTGCTACTACTGTTGCCATTAATTGTTGAAATTATTGAAATTGCTTTGATAGGAATAACTGTTTTGATTTCCATTGCTAGTGCTATTTTGATTATAATTTTAGTTATTTTAATAACCATTGTTGTTTGAGAAGTTATTATTGAACCTATTTTGATTGTTAAAGTTTGACCATTATTAAGGCTGCTGCTGATTCTGGAAATTGGTATTACTCTGATTGTTAAAATTGAATACAGGTTTAAATCCTTGGTTCTAATTATTCTAGTAATTGCTATTGAAGTTGCTTTAAGGTTTAAATTGAACCTAATTAAAGCTCTATGTTTGTTAACTGTTAAACTAGAAATTAGGGTTTTTTTGAAATGCCGAGCTATTCGATTGACTAAATTAGTTATTCCCACTGTTATAGCCATTGTTATTGCTTGACAAATTAAAATTAATCTTGAATGGTTGAACCTAATTCTGGCTATTATTGAAGTTATTAGGTGGCTTAAATCCAACTGTATTATTGGTATTGCTTTAAAACGTATTTTTACTTTGATTGTTGAATGTTAGGTTATTTGGATTCTGGTTCTCATTATTGAAGTTGCTGCCGTTTCTAAAGTTATTATTATTGTTGTTGTTGAATGTTGGAGTTTAGACTGAAGTATTATTTTACTTGTTGAAACCTATAGTAAATGACTGAGATCTGTTCATCTGAGGGGTTTGTCTATTATTTTGATTTTAAAAGTTGTTTCGATTGAAATTCGGATTCATTTGCATATTGTTATTACTCTACTGCTACTGAATTTGAGGCTGAGTTTATTGTTTCATTAGCGCTGCTTATTGTCTGATCTATTAAGCTCTGGTTGTTCTTATCTAGGGTACACCTGCAGTTTAAGTAGTTGACCTGGTATTTTATTTCTATGAATTGCTGTCATTTTCTCCTAGCAAATTAGCTGATTAGAGAAGCATCGATAGACCTCCTTGTCTCTTCTCTAATTATTCGTAATCAGGCATGATATCCTAAAAGCCTATATCAAAAGTATTAAACTAATTGAAGTTTTAGCTAATATCAGCCCCTTCTCCATTCTATATCTAGGCATTTTAGATGTCTGTTAAAAATATCTCAATGACATTATGTTAATCAAAACTCTGCAAGATTTAACTAAGCTACCTTCCCATATAATTCTGAGGTAAATAAGCTCTAAATTCACTTGTCTCTTAAGAGTACATTATTCTATTAGGTCCAATTACAAGTTAGTTCTGCTACTCTCTATTAACTGAGATAAATGCTGGTTTTTTGCTCATGTCATATACCTTTCCAACAATTAGAATTCCAGAATCAGATGATGATATGCAATTTATGAATGCATCAAATGTAGCTGAAGATTTGCTAGTAAGAGCCGCTACTACAAACTTCTCACCTTTCTAGCCGACTTATGTTGCTCCAAAAGAAATATGTGTTGAATTGATACCAGTAAGAATTTTAACTTTAAAAGGTCCATTAATCATGTCGTCTAAAGTTTTATTAAAGCATTCGTAGATTTCCTATATTATGAAATTTGATAAAAACTCATGAGTTAGTACTTATGATGAAAATTAGTAGCTTTTTGGCTAATGAGTATCTTCATAGTAAAGATAATCTAAGTTTCCAAATTTAAACATCTGGTAGTTTTCCATTCTAAGGTAAAATTTCATATTAGATGAAAGCAAATTCTTACACTTTGACAAAATTTTAGTCTTGCTTGGTAATGCCGTTTTACAAAAGTTCTTATATAATAATTTCTCCAAGGATAAACTTAGCAATTGGCTTTTTCTTGAAAGAAACTCTTTAGCTATTCAATACATTATAGAATTCCTAGATTAATCCTTCCATTGTGGCTGCTTAATTTTAGCTTCTCATTTTCTTAGTAGAAAGCAATTTAAATTATTGTAATATCAATTTAAATTTAAATTTATAGCAGTTTGATCATTAGCCATGGGGTTTTGGGGTTTTGGGGTTTTGGGG